CCCCTGGAACTGGAGTTACGGACAGTTGTTAGCTGCCTTGTGGGTGCTGGGATTTGAACCCGGGTCATTTGCAAGAACAGCCAATGTTCTTAACCACTGAGCTATCTCTCTAGCCCTACCAAATATAGTTTCTAATCACAGATATACAGCAGAGACCATGTATGATCTCCTGTAGCATTATTATGAAACCAGAATCATCAGGGAGGAAAAAGTTAACTCAGATAAAGCACAGCGTGGATCCCAGGAAGGCAATGAACAGGCTAAGAATTTCATGAAGGATAAGAATTGGAGTTTGACTGCAAGAGTTTATACAAGAAGTAGCAAACAATGACCAGCAGGCAAAGGAACAAAATACTCAGCATCACTGGGGAAATGCAAACCAAGGCGACAAGGAAATAGCGACTTCACACTTTCTAAATGGCTATTAACCAAAAACCTTAAATAATAAATACTGGTAGGAGTGTGGATAAATAGAATGCTCATACACTGCTGTGCCTGCAAAATGGTATATAAAGCCAAATAAAAGACTTACCACATGGTCTAGTAATTCTACTTCTGGGTATAGACATTCAAAAGAATTGAAAACTCAAAGACTTATACACAGATATTTATTGAAACACTGTCACAACAGTCAACAGATGGAAACAGCTCAATTGTGTATCAGTGGATGATAAATGGCTAATTATAGCAAATGTAAAAGATCACATTTGTATGATTTCATTTATAAGAAATATCCAAAGTAAATCAATAGAGAAGGGAAATAGATTGGTATGTGCCAAGTACCTGAGGAGAGGTGAGTAGGAAGTTGACTACTTTAAGGGTAAAGAGATTCCTTGTAAGGTAATAAAATAGTTTGGAACTACATTGAGGTGCTGGTTGTCCAATACTGAGTTTAGTAATATAAGCTGTATACTCTAAAATGGCTAGTTTTATATTATATAAACTTCACTCCAGTTTTTAAAAATCCTTTAAATGGGAGAAAAGAAATTATTTTATATCACTGAAATCAGTTTTGTGCTTACATTGCTCAGGTAGGTACAAGAGGAAAATATATACAGAGTGTACACTTAGCCCTGAGAGAATTATTGCATAAGCAAAAGCTATTACTATTATGGAGACATATAAAACACAAGCAGCAACAGGGCCGATGGCTGTCCTGATTCAATCACATGCTCGCAATACAAGTCTTGACTACACTGCAAAACTATTAACCATCAGATATCTCATCATACAAGAAGATAAATGACTTCATCATTTAATCATCTTGAGTTTTCTAAAATGCAACTGAATACAACCTAACTCATTCAGTGAACAATATTTATCAAGTATCTCCTGTGATGCAGGCACTATACTGACACAATTCACAAAGTACTTACTATAATGGCTTGAAGGCAATCCATAATTACCTATATTTGCAAAGTAAAGGGGGTATAATCTGTAACCAACTGAATCCAGTAACCGTACTTGGAAGAAATGGAAAGGAGTATCAGCTGGTTTTGTTGCTGTTGTTTTCAGTCCCTTCTTACAGTGAAGAGCTGCTGAGTCACATTCATAAGAGTTTCTCAGTGCTCAGAGGATCCTTCTAGTCACAAGCCAAGAGCAATCCCTACCTAAATCCCTACCACCACTGCATTTAACAATCAGGAATTCTGAGTCTGGCCTTTTGCTAACTGTACAGCCAATAAATCATAGTATTGTTCTGAAGATAAAATAAAAGCATACAAAACCAACCTATAAATTTTCAAGCTCAATTCAAATGTGAGAACTTTTAATATTTCCACTTAAATACTACAAACTTATATTCAAATTTGAATAGGAAATTTACCCTGGCATGTACCGTAAAAAAATTATCCCTTTAGATATATAATATCCAGTCAATCAACATTTTTTGAGGACATGATTAGATCTGCTTTTTCAAAAGGTCAAACTCACAGCATGTTGAATGGACTGGAAGGAAATGAGAGAGAGAG